CGCCCGGCTAGTTTTGTATTTTTTTTTTTTTGAGACGAGTCTCGCTCTGTCGCCAGCCTGGAGTGCAGTGGCTGGATCTCGGCTCACTGCAAGCTTCCGCCTCCCGGGTTTACGCCATTCTCCTGCCTCAGCCTCCCGAGTAGCTGGGACTACAGACGCTCACACTCGCCCGGTATTTTTTGTATTTTTTTAGTAGAGACGGGGTTTCACCCGCTTCGCCAGGATTGGTTCTCGATCTCCTGACCTCGTGATCCGCCCGTCTCGGCCTCCCAAAGTGCTGGGATTACAGGCTTGGAGCCACCGCGCCCGGCCTTTTTTTTTTTTTTTGAGACGGGAGTCTCGCTCTGTCGCCCAGGCTGGATGCAGTGGCCGGATCTCAGCTCACTGCAAGCTCTGCCTCCCGGGTTCACGCCATTTCCTGCCTCCAGCCTCCCGAGAGCTGGGACTACAGGCGCCCGCCACCACGCGCCGGCTAGTTTTTTTGTATTTTTAGTAGAGACGGGTGTTTCACCGTGTTAGCCAGGGATGGTCTTGATTCTCCTGACCTCGTGATCCACCCGCTCTCGGCCTCCCAAGTGCTGGGATTACAGGGCTTGAGCCACCGCGCCCGCCGTTTTTTGCATTTTTTTTAGTAGAGACGGGGTTTCACCGTGTTAGCCAGGATGGTCTTGATCTCCTGACCTTGTGATCCGCCCGTCTCGGCCTCCCAAAGTGCTGGGATTACAGGCTTGAGCCACCGCGCCCGGCCCAGCCTCATTTTAGTACATTCTGTCCCCTGGGAGGAACTCCACAAAGCCCACTCTACCACGTGCACCCAGGGCTGCCTCATCTCAGCTGTGAACCCAGCAGCTGTCTGTCTCAGGGCCTCAGGCTGCATGCTGTCTTCACCTGGCTGGATCCTCAGGTTCTCAGGGTAAAAGACACTTGCTCAGACTCCCTCTTAGCCCCCAGTGCTTCCAACAATTATTCCAGCTGTAACTTGAGACTGCAATTTCATGTTGGTTTATTATTCCCATGAGATCATGCTGAGCTGGATGAGCCCCAGTGCCTGGTGCTGCACATATAGGAAGCACTCATACGGGCTCAGCGAGTAAACAACCCACGGTGCTGCCGGATGGGTGCCCTTTCCCGAAGCTGCTTCCAGGCCTTGGGGCTTAGCCAGGTGAGTCCTTGCATCCCTGCATCTCCTAGGAGCACTTTTGGCACAGGCTCTGATGCCTACCCAAAGGGTAGGCAGCTAGGACCTTTCCTGAGCATGCTGCAGATGACTCAACAGGGACGCTAAGGATGCCATCACTTTCCTTCCTGCCAGCTGAGGTCTGCCTGTTCCACCCATGGTACCCTTCACCTTGAGGAACCCCTGAACATGCCAGGGATCTGAGAGCCCACCTTCAGGGCAGGTGCACAGCCATGTAGCAGACACACACACACACTGACTACTGCTACCCCCAGTCTGGCTCCCTTGACTTCTAACTCT